AAAGTATTGTTCGGGGTGCTACACAAAGTCACGATGACAGATTACCCAATCATATGCTGAGAATTGTACACGCATATCTGAGTTGCCTGTAAACCATACACTACGTTGTACGTTGTACAAACTCCGTTCCTGGTATAATTATTTAAATCTTATATAATAACATAGTTTTAAACAAAACCATTTTTAATTATTTTGTATTTTAAGCAAACTTTGCCAGGAGTATGTTTCTTTTTTAATACTTTTGCAAGGCGAATATTAACTTTGGTTAAAACTAAAAATGATTTTTTTTGCGATTTTTTATTAGTGAAACGTTGCGTTCCTAAAAAGTACTTTAATGTGTATAAATAAATTACCTGGGCAAAGACCTACATCAGCCAATCAAAAATGAATGTCTACAAAAAATTATTCATCCCCTGTAATTTTAACCAATCGAATTTTGAGATCAAAATTTTAATTTTTATTAGGAAACCATCTTCTGCAACCTAATTAAAAATGTTTCTCGTGAAATCCTATTAACAATCTTCATATTTTTCTAACTATAACCTAATTATAACACGGGTTTCTTGGATTTAATTTACACACTATTTTTTTACTTAGAAAACAAAAGTTTGTTTCGACTATCACACTACACCTGATCTTAAATTTTGATTGGTCAAAATTACAGGGGCGACCAATTTTTTGTGAGAACGCTATTTTAAAGTTGATTAATATACTTTTCGTTGTTTAATACTAATTTTATTAATAAAAATCATTAACCTATAAATAGGTTGTTAGCTGGCATTTATAAAAGTGCTTTTAACACCTTCCAAACTTCTTAATGTTTTCTAGTTCATATGTTATTTTCGAAATTAAATATATCGCATAGGGCGGAATTTTTAGGAAAAAAGGGTTTATTCATTCAATCTGCCAGATTGTCCATATTTTATCAAAAAGGAATCTGAACTTCTTGATGATAGCAGCCAAAAAATGGTACGATTTGCGTTAAAATGAAAGAAGCAAGGCCACTGCCGCAGTTGCATGTAGAGTATGTGTGATTGTTAATTTTCCCAATATAATCTTGAGTTATTGTCATATTGTTACATTTTCATATGTTTATAGGCTAGTAGCAGTGGTATTTTTCTCACATGACCCGCAAATTTGAAGGCCGTCGATTCAAAGGAGTATGTGAGAATAATATCACTGAGTTAACTATTAGGCCGTTCGAAGTTAATTCTTCGGTTAACATCACCTTTAGAACTCTTGGAAGAGGGGGTAAAATGAAACGAACATATAAAAATGGGCCAACCTCATTGGTCGACGTAAATCAAGTAATTGGCGAGAGTTATCCAGCGTTTTGATTGGTTGTTCGTTTACCGGGGGGAAGACTTCAGTGGAGGGGGAGGGGTGATGTTAACCGAAGAATCAACTTCGAACAGCCTTAAGGTCGTCAGCCCTCAAATTAAGATTCTCGTGATGTTTTTAATACTGTATTATATATGATATGCATTGTTCTTTTAAAGCTTTGGATTTCCGTTCATCCGTGAATTTGTAATAATTCTTGCGCACGAGAATTTTACAATAATCAGGCATCTTGTAGTATAAGCCCTGACCAAAATTGGCTCATTGGCAATTTTTTTCTATTCGAAATATAGCACCATTTCTTTGGCATCAATTTTGAATCTATGTTGAATTTTTATAGAAACACGAATCAATTACCTTAAATGACAAAATCAATATAAATATGAATAAAGATAGTAAACAATTCTTTTTCATATTAGGCATTAGGAAATAATCTGATGGGTTTAAAAGAATCATATATCGAATCAATATTGTCTGATGCCTCATTTGGATTTTTTAAGAATGAGAACAATCAATTAATCTTCGTATAGTTACCGCATTGTTTTATACATTGTCTAATAAAGGTACGTGAGATCAAAATTATTAAGAGACAAAAAAATTTGTTCAGAGTTACTGAATAGCATTTGTCCCTGGCTGAGGTGACCAATAATCGTTTAATAAAAAAAAGAGAAAAAAAATTTATAGAAACAATGCGTGACAATAGTTTTTCTTGTCAACTAACCTGAATTATACTGTATCTTTAACAATCAACTACAATTAGGGTTGTTAATGAGTGCTCCAAACTATAATAAAACGTGCATTTTCAAAATGAATTTACTAGTATATTTGTAGGTACGAATTTTGTATTATAATGTATTGTATTAACCTATGCGTGAGCACTAACTTGGAAGTAGAATAAAAAATATATTATGAGAGCTTCTAAATTTATTCCATCGCATAATATATTTTTTATTTTACTTCCAAGTTAGTTCACGCATATAGGTCAATATAATACATTATAATACAAAATTCGTACCTACAAATCTACTAGTAAATACACTTTGAAAAGGCCCATATTTTATTATAGACTAACAACCCTAACTATAATACTACCGCCTAAGTACTGCATACAATACATTCGGTTTATATTTATATGTTGTAGATTCCAATAATTACTCTGATAAGGATTAATACGCTATTAAGAGAGCCACAGAGTTTTAGCATAATACTGCATATAATATAATAATCGTAACGATATGCATTACATTAGACAATTTGTGAAGTTGCAATTCTCTATGACCTATAATCGAACTTAGCATTTTCTTGCCGAAAGCTAAAAATCTTAACAATACATGAATATCCATTTGCTTTGATTAATCCAGGAGCCGCATTAAAAGAAATCCTTCAACAATTATTTGTAGATCCTTTGATTCATCCAATTATATAATAATCCGGCGATAATTAAAATTGGTAAAATGCATTGTATAATACACAATACCATTGTGTGACGCAATAAGTTTAACCAATTAAATCAGTTCTTTTTACAATACATTTCTAATTTTAACATTTAATCAATCATTGTAGAAATAGAAATTCACATACGGTGTATTGTTACATATACAAATTGTTATAGTGCATACGGAATTTCGTATAATTCTCGTGAACATAATAATGCACCAGAGTTGGAAACGACCTATTGAAATAGTGGACCATTTACTGCGTCATTATCATCCATTGTTTGAAGTATCTTACTTGATGCTTCAAGATTAGTATTTAAATTACTAATTACTAAACGATAATCGTATTTTAAAACAATAAGATGTATATACAATATTACATATATGACCAATTAAATTCAATGTAGTGTGTATCAAGAACGATACTTTGCAAATGGCCACGATTTCAATAGGCATTTTCATCCCTGTAATGCACTCAAGATTTCATACTGAAGAAAGTGGTAGCATCGGGATTCTTGGGCCTTTCAAAGTGTATTTACTAGTAGATTTGTAGGTACGAATTTTGTATTATAATATATTGCTAGGTTGGCCAATGGACCAAACTGTGGCTTAGAAGATGCCAATGGACAATGTCCATTGACATTTCTCTCAGAATCCATCATAATCCATTGCCAACCCTGATGTATTGTATTAACCTATGTGCGTGCACCAACTTGGAAGTAAAATAAAAAATATATTATGCGATGGAATAAATTTAGAAGCTCTCATAATATATTTTTTATTTTACTTCCAAGTTAGTGCACGCGCATAGGTTAATACAATACATTATAATACAAAATTCGTACCTACAAATCTACTAGTAAATACACTTTGAAAAGGCCCCTTGATGAGTTAAGAAAATGAATGTATTGTTGTGTTACAATACCCGTAATTATTGTTACGTTTTAGAAATGCATCAAATATACATTGATGAAATCGATAATACCATATAAATATTAGATTGATTTAATAACGTATCTCTTATTAAGATATATATACCTGTTCAATCAGTGTTAACTCTATAAAAGTTATCCTCAGAAAATATTCAAAGTCTCAATCGATTTATTGCCATATCTTATTTTTAACCTCACTATTTGAAAATCCTTCAAACTCTGCAAACAAAAATGGTAGACTATCATATTACAAAGCCCTCTTGTAGATATCATCCATACTCTGTAACTGGTATTTCTTTAGATCCGCGAAAGAATAGGCGAGAATCGATGAATCAGGTGCTCCCTGATCAAATTGTCTCTAATTTATTCACAAGTATCGAACAACCGCAAGCTTTTATGCATCCTTTTACTAATTTTGACGACGATGGCCAAAGTAACAACTACGGAAACTCGTTTGAATTGCAAGACGATCAAATTGGATTCCTACAAAGTGAACAACTGTGCGACATTCCCGAGATGATGTCAATTCCCTTCATACCGGCTGGCAATTATTCTCAAATATCTGATATTGAACCATTTGGACTCTTCGAAATGTCTTCTCAAGCGTCTGATATTGGACCATTCGTATCCGTCGAAAATTATTCCCAAGGCTCTGACGTTGACCAATTTTTGAACCTTTTCGGTCCTCATTTTTTCTTTGACCACAACGATGCGCTTTCCCAACAATCGTCTAATCCCGATCTTAACGTACCATATGCCGAGAACACTAATCTTCTGTTTTTAAATGAATCGTATCACAATTACAAATCTCAAAGTTCATGTGATATAACAATCGTTCCTCCTCCTATTGGAACAATCGTACCTCCTCCTATTGGACCAATCGTTCCTCCTCCTATTGGACCAATCGTTCCTCCTCCTATTGGACCAATCGTTCCCTCTTCTGTTGGATCAATCGTTCCTCCTTCTATCAGATCAACAACTCAAAACCATCCATTGAATCCGGTTATATTAAAACTTTTTGATAAAATATGGGCAATCTGGCAGATTGAATGAGTAAACCCTGTTTTCCT